TCCATCCATCCATCCATCCATCCATCCATCCATCCATCCATCCGTCCATCCATCCATCCATCCATCCATCCATCCATCCATCCATCCATCCTCATGTTAAGTTGGGTCATGAGGGAAGCAGCTTGAGCAGCGAGGTCCAGGCATCTCTTTCCACAGACACCTCTTCCAGCTCTTCTGGGAGGATTCCAAGGCATTCCCAGGCCAACTGAGAGACATAGTCTCTCCAGCGTGTCCTGGGTCTTCCCCAGGGTTTCCTTCCATTTGGACATGCTCGAAGCACCTCCATAGGGAGGCACACGGGGAGCATCCTTACCAGATGCCTGAATTACCTCAACTGGCTCCTCTCAATGTGGAGGAGCAGCGGTTCTACTCTGAGTCACTCCTGGATAACTAAACTTCTCATCCTATCTCTACGGGAGGGTCCAGATACCCTGCGGAGGAAACTCATTTCAACCACCGTTATCCACAATCTCATTCTTTTGGTCACTACCCAGAGCTCATGGTCATAGGTGAGGGTAGGAATGTAGACTGACCAGTAAACAGAGAGCTTTGCCTTACAGCTCAGCTCCTCCTTGACCACAATGGATAAAAAAAGAGTCCACAATACTGCAGATGCTGCATCAATCTGTCTGTCTATCTCAAGCTCCATTCTTCCCTCACTCATGAACAAAATCCTAAGATACTTGAACTCACCCACTTGATTCAGAACCTCACCTTTGACCCTTGACCACCTTGAATCACTACCTTATTGTGGTGGAGGAGTTTGTGTGCCTGAATGATCCTAGGAGCTATGCTGTCGGGGGCTATTGTAATTGCTCCTGGTAGGGTCTCCCAAAGCAGATTGGTCCTAGGTGACAGGTCAGACAAACATTGATTCAAAACACTTGTATGGATAAAGAAGAACAAGGAACTTGGGAGTTTCTTGCTCAGAGGTGGGCTACTGGGGCCTCACCCCGGAGCCAGGCCTGGAGGAAGGGCTCATCAGCAAACATCCGGTGACCGGGTCCCTACCAATGGAGCAACATGGATTTGCCTTCCTGTGAGCCCACCATCTGCAGGAGGGTCCATACAAGTTGGATGCATGATACCATGGGCAGTGGCCGAAGGTGGGGGCCTTGGCCCTCTGACCATGGCTTACTAAATCTGTTTTTTTTTTTCAAACATGTAGTCAAAATCTATGTACTTCAGGTAGAATATTGACTACATATACCTTCTTATCAGAACCATAATATGAAACAAACAAACAAAAAAATACTAATTAATATTTTAAAGGATCAGTACTAAACCCTTTAAGAACAGTTCTGTGAGCATTTTTGCACGTCATATGCACAGTTGGGTTCATAAAATTTGAGGAAACAACTGACAGTTACCTACGTGATGCACAGTTTGTTATTTAAAAGTGCCTCAGTTTAGAGGAAGGAATACAGCAGTTTCTTTATGTCTTACCTGGGATGTGTTTGGCCCAGCCTATGTTGACCACCAACTCTCTGTCCGCCAGGTCACAAAGTGTAGTCAGGGCCTTGATGTCACTGTCTGGTACTGTTGGGTCAGGCATGGCATAAATCTTCTCTGGCTCAGCCACCAGCAGGTGAGAGACGATTTTGTTATCTGCAAGGCAGCCAAAGGCAACTGACATGACCACCAGACAAGGAGACAAACACAGAGACAGGGAGATAGTGAATTTTCATTTTGTTAGGCTACAAGCTGTTTCACACCAATCTGGGGTAACAATGTGAAAGGTCATTTAGGAAACCTGTAATAACAAGTACACTGATGGTACATGTGTCTATAAAGATTTCCCTATGTAGCAAAATAAAGAACTGTGGTGTCAAAAATCACAGGGTGCAAAGAGGTTAAACATATTTTGTATTGCAAAGTTTAATTAGTTTAAAACCACAAAACATATTTTTTATTACCTGTTTAGGACATTTTAGCACTATCATGCTCTTTCAGAAACCAACTAAGTTAACAATTTACAAGACTAAACAAGGGAATACCAGTAAGTAAACAATGATTGAAAGACTTTAAAACAAGACACGTTCCAAGGTGAGATTAATGGCGATAACTACCAGTGATCCAAGTTGTCCAAAATGTTTGATTTTGGTACAACAGCCCTGGGAAGCTTCACTTCCACGTAACAGAAGGGGAAGATAATTCTCAAAGTGAAACAGCTCAGCTGGGAATAGTGACATGTGGTGATGAGACCTCTATGGCCCATTAGTAACAGACTGATATCCCACTTCCAAATTAATCCACAGACTAATCAAGCATGTTGATGCGGCATAGAAGAGTGAGAGAAGAGTGAAGGATTGAGAAAGAGAGAAAGAGATTAGTGATGAAAAATGAGTGGAAACAAACAGGTAGAAATAGAGCTATGGACAGATTGCAAAAGTCTGACAGAGAGCAATAACTAGATAACAGCAAGAGAGTAAAAGAGTTGTGAGGATGAGTTGTGTATTGATCTAACACCGTCCACTACCCCCCATTTTCTTACATTCACACATGGGTGTGTGTTTGGATGTGTTTACACATATGTATGTATCAAGACACACATGGTCCAGCTCCAGGGTCATTTGAACCACACCAATCCAAGTCACACTGCAGTATCTGTGGCTAAATCTTATTTAATGTTTCCCTAATTAGAATCAATGGAAGCCCATTTCCAAACCCTGGGCTATTGTTCTGTTTGCAAACAATCAATGAGGAGGATGAGTTGGGGAAATGTTCTCTGGGTGTGAGGGAGACAGAGGGACAGAAACATTTTGTGTGTAATGACTGAAAAAGGAGATATTTTGCAGATTTTTTGGGGGATATACAGATTGATTAAATAATATGTGATCTTGTCCTTTAACAGCAAAAGGACACAGACACTTTCTAGTAAAAACAGGATTAAACAAGTCTCACTGTTGGATAAAAATACTCTACAGACTAGCTTTGTAAAGATGCACAGTTACAACACTCAAATCCATTGAGCATGCCATACCTAGTGTACACATATTGACATTATCCCATAATTTCTACGATTAGTAGTGCAAACGTCCCAGTAAGCTGCATTGCAGCCCTTCAACATATTGGCCTAAAGCAGAATATGTTCCAGCTTTAAGCAAAATGGGCTTTGGGGACCAAGCTGCTAAACACTCCTCAATCTGCACCACATGAGTGTGTATGCTATGTGCAAGCACATGGTTAGCTAGAGAGCTAACTCTAGTTTGATGTAGGTGCCAGATTGGATTTAATCCGGATTAGGGTTGTGGCTGTTCTCTCTCTATCCCATCTTCCCTCTCTCTCTCTGGGAAATGCTCTCATTTAGGTTTAATCTCTCCATGTCTACCTGTCTCTGTCACTCTCCCTCACTCTCCTTCGTTAATTGTTCAATCATAAGACAATGGTTATGGTTAAATTCCTGTTTTAAAAAAATAGCAGCCAATCCAGCCGGAGCAAAGTGAATACATTTATGGTGAAATGTACCACACATCCATTCAACCTTTATTTATATAGGTTAATCCCATTGAGCCTTGGGGGCTCATTTACAAGCGAGACCTGAATTTTAAAAAAGAGTGATGACAACAATGGACAACAACGACATAAAACATAAAAATGTTATGGTCCCAAACTGGGAGTAAAAAAAGGGAAGTAAACACAGCTTCAAACAGATGGGTTTCTCAACTAAGTGCCTAAATATGTGTGGTTTGTTGAGGTATTTTTCATCCAAATGTTCCTGTAAAATAAAATCTTGGATTTTAAATATTTAGATTTGGATTATTGAGTGCTATTAATTGAACAATATTGTTGATTTTCTACGTACAGAATGTCAATGAGCAGTTCCTGTCTTTGAGAATTAACCCCTGATTTTCGTAGACCTTGTTTGGTTTCTTTGTGCATGTGCATGTGTTTGTGTGTGTTCTCACATGGCTTCTTGGGGGGCAAAGCCAGTTGTGGGTTCAGGTACGGACTGTTGTCTGCATCTATCCGGCGCTTATATTTCTGTCTTCCACCACGAACCCTGTCAAGACGAACCCCTGAAAGAAACAGCAGAGAAAGGACATGTGTATCATTATAGTGTGCCTGGCACAGAAACAAGAGATACTTTCATTAAAAAACAAGAGAAAAGGGCAGGGGAGGGGTGTGTGTGGATGACAAGAAGATCAAAAAGTTAATAACCAGGAAAGAGGAGAAGTATAAAATGAAGGAACATGACAAATAAATTAGTATTTCTTTATTAACATGCTTATTTATTCACTTTTATGTTTTTGTTCTTCTTTCTGAACTTATGTCTCCTGTTTACTCCACCAAAAAAAAAAAAAAAAAAAAAAAAAATCAATTATCTACAGAAGCATCATCTGAATAAAAGTCTTCTTTCTGGTTTTCTGGCTGTTTGCAGTCTCTTGCCCAAGCTCAGCCTCCCAGTTGCAGTCTCCCTCTCAGTCTTGTTAATTAATTGACACAAAGGAGTCTTAATTGAATTAGGCCAATCTCTCAGGGGATTGGATGTTACCGTGGTTACCACTTAAGGGTGGATAAGAAAGACAGAGGTGCTAGTACCTTGGAGGGAGAAAGGAGAAGAGAGAAGATGGGAAGGGCAAAAAAAGAAAGGAATGCCTGAAGATCTCTAAAAGTTTCAACACTAGTCTAAAACATGTTTGCCTGCACCAGTGACAAATAAATAGCTTTATTATGGTGAAAATGTATAAAAGGTTTTGCAAAGTAAGTGCAAGGTGATCTGAAATATATGACTCTAATATATTTAGAATATATTTCATTTTTTTTACAACTGAGGTTATAATTCAATGTGTGGTATATAATTTAATGTTAAGGCATATTAATGTTAAAAGTTTAATCAAAAATAAGACAGAATCAGCATTGCATTTACCAAAAAAAAACTTGGTGGTTCTTTTTTTTTTTTTTAACATTTCCAGCTGAAACTTCAAGTGTTTGATTAAAAGAAATGTGACTACAAAGTAAAATAAATAGTAAGAATATTCAATATCAAGAAGGAACACTAAATATACACAAGGTTTATGCTCTAATAGCCTAAAAATAAGGTCTTGGGTTAAAAAATGACTTTTTTATAAGCTAAATTAAAATCTATTTTGGTTATGAAACATAACAAAGAAGATCCATTAAAAAAAAAAGAAAATAATTATATCACACTAAAATGTCACTATCAAGGAAATGTTTAAAACAGGGACACTGATGTGAAAGAATATCTGACAACATGTATTTAAACTACACATTGATTTTAAATCTACAGGGCTGAAAGCGGAAGAGGGCAGCATCGAAAGTGTGAACGCAAGGAAGAGATTTGCTCGCTCACAGAGATTAAAATCCTCTGAAAAATGTGCTGACCACACTGAAGTTAACACACCTAAGAGATTTAACGCAAAGACTTCCATCAGCAGTAAAGACAAATATCTGGGAGAATGTTTGTGCTTTATAGTGAACAGGAGCTTTGATTATAAATTAAATTTGAAACATCGTACAGTGGCATGCTGTAAATGTGTTTTCTTATGGAAAACAAACTGCGACCCAAAAGGATGCATACTGGTGTGTGTGTATGTTTGTGTGTGTGTACAAGTGCTTGAGGCTGAGATAGAGAGACAGAAGGACTGACAGTCCAGGTGCAGTGGGGGGCCTCGTGTCAGCAAACGGTCAAAAGACTCAACATTAGAAGATACAAACCCACTCACACACATTCCTTATGTTTTCTTGCAGATATTTATACATCTACCGGACATTTCTTTTATGTTCATCACATCATATGTTTGTCGAAGCATGCTCTCAGTACCTTGGTCAGTTGTTTGCCATAAGAGGGAAATGGACAAATAAACAAAACTGGGTAAGGGATAAAGAAAAACAAAAAAAAAGTTAACTGATAAACATTTTTTTTCAGCTGCTTTCTTCTTCAGGGGTCGCTACAGAGAATTAAGTCATATGAAGAGTGGGCAATTATTTTTATACCAGATGCCCTTCCTGATGCAACCACAGACCACCGAGCTCATGAGAACAGCTAAACTGAAAAATAAAATAAAACTGTAGCTGCAACAGAGCTACAAAGAGTCTCTTCATCAAAATAGTTTGTAGCTTTTTTTTCCATGTCAGCTATAATATTCTGATGTGGGTTCACACATGTCCTGTAATGTTTTTTGTGGTCCTTGTTGGTTCTTTTTCCCACCTATTTGTTTTATTTAATTCTGGTGGCATGGTGGTGCAGTTGATAGAGCTGCTGCCTCTCAGCCAGAAGGTTGCCAGATTGAATCCCAGCCGGGGGGCCATTATAGGTGGAGTTTGCATGTTCTCTCTGTGCATGCGTCAGTTTTCACCAGGTACTCCAGTTTCCTCCCACAGACCAAAAACATGCATGTTAGGTTGATTGGTAACTCTAAATTGTCCCTAGGTGTGAGTGAGACAGTGAAGGGTTGTTTGTCTCTGTGTGTCCCTGTGATGGACTGGAGACCTGTCCATGATGTCCCCTGCCTCTCGCACAGTGATGGATGGTCATGGGCACCAATGACCCCCCGTGACTCGAAAAGGAAGAAGCAGGTAAAAGATAATGGATGGATGTATAGTTCAGTTTTTGTTGCTAAGTTTCCATCAGCTGTTAGTATCTGTGGCTTTTACTTAGCTTTGATTCCAATAGTCAAAATAAAACCAAATGAGGCATTCAGTGATACTTTCATACATCAGATGGTAAAAGTAACATTTAAAACATTGTTTCTTTGAACATATCGATGCAGAGCTGGACTTGTAGCCTAAAATGTGTGTGTCTTTAAGACATTCCCTTTAAATTTTTATTTTTTTGGTACTGAGGCTTTGCTTAATATTCTTTTATTTTGCTCTCACGCATAAACTTTTACATGGACTCTCAACACTTCTTTTATTTTTCCTATAAACTAAAAGACCCTGAACTCACTCCATAAAGAGCCCTTTTCTAACTACCTCATCTATTTTCCACCAAATTAACTCTCTCTCCGCGCTGATTAATGATCAGATCTAAATGAATCAAATTAAAATTTGAAAATTATATTTCCAAAGCTCACAAAAAAGAGACAGGAGGAAAGTAGTGGGAGAGTGAGAGTGTGTTACCTCCTCTTAACAAATGAGCCTTCAAACCATAAAGAATGACCATGAGAGGAGGAGCCAAAGAGGGTGGGGGTGCGGGGGGGGGGGGGGGGGAGAAGTGTAGAAAAAAAATAAAAGAGGGGCAAGGAGGAGTGAATGCAAGGATCAGACAAACTGAGCTATGCTAGAGGAAAACAAAAAAGCAAGAGGAGACTGAACTGGTAGAAATAGGAGAAAATGCACAAAAACTTTTTGATTGAAAAACTAAGAAACCAAGTAAAAAAATAAGAAAGAAAATGTTGAGAAGAGACAAAATGATGAATTATAAACTAATAAAGTGGAAAAAGATAGACAGAAAACAAGGCTGAAATACAGAAACCTTTGGAAAAGTATATTTTTCAACTAATCAAAGATTATTCTGCAACTTTTTTGTTTTCTTTCACACACACATAACCTTACACATAAGACTGTACTTCTGCTGTACCTGAAACCACATAATCAATAATGCAGCTTGTAACATTTTTAGCCATGCTGCGCCACTTCAGTCATATGCTGCACACACAGACATGCATGAACTCAAAAGTGTCCATCTGAACCTTGTGACAGTGATGAAGGTGAATCATTTCTATTGTGGGAATATTCCTGTCTGTCAATAGCGCTATCTGCACTGATCACATCAGGATAGATTTTTACACTGCGCTAGCGTCACTCTGTGTCAGCGTGTGTGTGTGCGTGTTCTTGAACAGATGAAGGATTGCGAGCGAAATGCCTTTGACACCCCAGTGCACATGCAGGAGAAAGACAGAGGAGAGAGGAAAAGATAGAAGAGGATGGAAGGAAAAGCCGAACGCAGATTGATTTCAGATGGTCAATGAAATGATGAGAGACTGAGGGGATAGCAAGAAGAGCGAGCGTTGTAGGGCGAAATGCAGACGAGGAGGAGACGGACAAAAAATATTTATGGAAATTGGATGATTATAGTCGAGGAGAAATGTAGATGGCTCAAAAATATAAAAAGAAGAAAACATTTAAGAAGTCAGACCCATAAATTATTTGCAAGAGATAAAAAAAAAGACAGCTAGAAGACTACTTTAGTCACCTTAAACCATTTTGCACACAGCATTCAGAGTGTATTTGTGTGCGTTAAGCTGCAGTGTTCATGTAATAACATTAACGGTTTTCCTTTGTGGGTTTATGGACTGATGGGTGAGCGGATTGGGAAAGACAACTGTCCCATGTAAATCTGTTGTGTGTGTGCACCTGTGTATTTGTAATATGAGTGAGGACATAAATCTGCTGATACATTAACACTGCAAGAACCAAAATCCTGTTTTTCACTAAAAGGCGCTGCAAAAAGTAAGCCTTTATATAAAGAGCAAGATTATTATGAATGGCTATGATAGCTAAATACAGAAAAAATTACAAGTATGGAAACCCAACTTGAGAGATGATGTCTTCTAAAGTGCATGATTAAATCATAGACAAAACACGTATGTTCTGTACATTAGCTGACTCTGCATGTAATAAAATAAAATGCCAGCGCTGAAGCGAGGTAAAATGAAGCAAACAGAAACAAGGTAGAGGGGAGAGTGTGTGTAGTGTCATGCAGGGATGTTTGTTTAGACCAGAACAGATCTGAACAGCAGTGCCTACGGCAGTGGGCAGGTGGCTGTCACTGGAGTGTGAATCTGTGACTGTGGGTGTGGGATTGAGCAAAAAAGTGTGGACGTTTCCCCCCCTTTCACTTAGAAGGCTGCATTCACCTAATAACACCCTGAAACTTCAATTTAACTATTTTCTTACATATTCAAAATAACTGGAATGGGATTGTGCCAATATTTACATAACCTAACTAAATAAATATAATACTGCTGGGTCAATGCTAGGCCTGTCGCAATAAACAATAAATGAATTAATCTCATGATAAATGAAAAAGTATTTACCTCATTTTCCTTTATCG